TTGGGGGGGGGGGGGGGATGCAATAATGCGAGTGTGATGAAGGAGCAGTGCTCCAACAAGACAAAACGCCACACGACCAAGAAAGACCACCGAGTCACCTCGAGGCCCAGCTGCCAGTCGAGATGGCCCACGATGAGCAACAAGGCAGTGTCAACCAAATGCAGATACACAGGATAATCGGCCAGACAGGCAGACAAGCAGGCAGGTTGCACCCAAGGCAAGCGGCACACACACACACACACTCAAGGAAGAGGCAGAACGAGGGACGCTCAAGACACTGTTCCGGGATAGAACCCACAGCCTTTTGCACGCCACAATTCAAATGCATTGGGCACCAACGAGGGCTCTGCCACGGCTGTGAGACACACGCACGCACACAACGTATACTGGGGCTGCCGTTTCAAGAGCACACACGCACATGCTCGCGCCCAAGCAGGTGCATTCTCACTGGTCAAGCCAAGAACGACAAACCTCCCCAAAAATAAACCCTTTACAACCAAGCAAGACCGACACAAGAACACCATCACGCCCTAACTTCCCTCTCATCCCACTGAACCGCCCTTGCTGAACCTGTACCTCACTGAATCATATGGCGCTGCCATTTCACTCACACACACACACACACACACACACACACACACACACACACACGTTAGCAAGGGTTTCTTACAAAGATAAAAGAGAGAAATAACACATCCTTTTCTCGCTCTCTCTCTTCTCTCTCTTATATCTCTCTCTCTTTTTCTCTCTCTTGAATGTCTTGGTCTTGGGCCTGTTTCTCTTGAATGCCTCGCTCTAGAGGCCATCCCTCTGAAATCACTCGCCCTGTGGTGCCTTTCTCTGACATCAGCTCTGCTCTCCCATAAGTTCTCTTTCGTTCTCTCTGACAACCTCTGAAGCGCGCTCCGCTCTCAAACCTTCTCTGACCCTCTGACACTCTCTTTCTCACTCTTTCTTTCTCTCTTCTCTTCTTCTGCGGCAGTGGCTTTAGATAATTATTTGAATAAAGTTTTCACAAAAAATACACGCTAAACAATTCACACTTGACGGTGGGCACAACCAAATGGTGGTTTTGTCAGACAAAAGGATGGCGATGATGCAACCACTTTTTACTCTTCTTCACAAAAAAAAAAAGTCGCGTAGCGAACAAAATGGGGAGGGAAAAAGCTGGCGACGGCGGCGGCGGCGGCGGCATCGCTTCATCGCGAACCGTGCTCAGAGCTCGGCCACATCGGTTGGTTTTGCTCGAGTGAGAAGGCGATCATCCACGTCCATATCCAGGGTGGCCTCACCCAAGTACGCATCCACGTACGAGGCCAACTCAAAGCAACTAATCTCCAATCGGCTCTTACTGAGCACCAAATCGCAGTTCTACTCCACGGCCGACCAAAGGGTGAGGGAGTTCACGCCGTGAAGAATCAGGTCGCTGAACGTGAACAAGAAAAAAAAAAAAACAATAATAACACGGGGAAGAAAGAACGGATTGGACTGGACTGGACTGGAGCATGGGCAGTACCTTGCCGGGAATTGCATTGTGACGATTGAGGAAGCTGATTTGACTCTGTGACTGCTTCAGCATTTCCTTGTCATCGAGCGAGCGCAAGAGCTTGGTCAACACTGACCGAGCCCGTGCCACATGGAAGGACAAGGGATGAATGAGCTATCGGTGCGGTGTGGTCTGTCGCCAGGGAGCCATTTTGAAACCCCTAAATTCATGTCTGACAGGACGCCAACGACGCGAAACATTTGCTTGAGAATTTACCTTGTTGCGAGCGCAGACGAAGATGCACCACGATTGGAAAGAGTTGTGATTTGCGGAGCCTGTGCACAGAGTCTGAGCAGCCCTGCAAGATGCACATCTGCGCAGCCCCATGCCGTGAGCAGTTATCACGGCTGACTCAGCTGCACAGCAGGAAAAAACATTTGACCTTGCTGCCACCAAGACCAGCGTCAAGTTGTCGCCAAAGCAGGATCACCAACCTTGCCCTGCCTGGAGCTTTCGTAAATGTGATCAATCACTTCTTTACTAGCAATCTCTCGCACGTCTGTCAATGTCACCCGGCACGGGTACCCCGTCAATGTAGAGCTGAAAACAAAAGGCTACTTGGCTTCAATACATTTCTCATCCTGCTCCGGGGCAGGGAGGGTGAGCAGGCTGCTTACCTTCGATGGAGGCGGCCGAGTCAGCAGCTGAAGCCGTGGGAAGCCGCTGTCGACCTCCCCTAGGCGATTGCTGCGATGTGTCCAGATCCAATACTTCCACGTGCTCAGGAAAGGACATGACCAGGTAATCAATCAAAGCTTGGTGCATCATGTCAGTCAGAGCAAAGCCCGTGTGGCAGGGCCCAACAAATGCCAGAGGCCGGACATCGGGCGCCAATGCATAAGGGTTGGCAGTTTTGTTCAGATTGGGCGGCCGGAAAGTCACACAATCATCTGGATACGCCTCGTCACGGGCCTGTTTGTTAAACACAATGTGCAGCCGCTCGTCATCTTGGGTCGCCATTGAGATCCTGTCAAAACCACCGGCAAGCCCCAGCACAAGATGTCAAGATGGAAAGGTAAAAGTAAATGAAGAAAAAGGCCGAACACAGAAACGGTGCAAAACGCAGTCTGTGGCGCCTACGGAGCAAATCAGATCGAGGAGACGCACCCATCACCCTCGTCATCCGCCGAGGGCACCCGCACGCGTGGTCGTCCTGTTGGTGAAGCCGATGAATAACAAGGGAGGGAGAACAGAATCATGTCTTACACTGAAAAAACAAATCGGTGGCGCGCATGCCATATCTGAGGCCCGTGTCTCAAGGTCAACGCCAACGCCAACGTACGTGAGACGTGCCCCGAAGACCGCTCATTGTGATACTTGAGCAACCAGTTCTTTTCGCTTGGGATCATTCGACACTTCATGCCTTGACCCACAACGCGCCCCACCCACCAGCGGTCATCAATCACCTAAACCATGAGGACCAGCAGCAAACCACCCGCTTGAGACACGCGAGGAAGGTTCGCCCAGAGTTTGCAAGCTCAGAACAACGGCAACATGGGCAGCTAGGCTTCGCACATGGGCAACTTGAACAAAGTCCCCAGGCCGAAAGACGACAGGAAACGTCGTGACCTCGGGGTCGTTGCGCCCATCATAATACACGTTGCTCCGGAACGAAAAGGCTACCGTCCCCTCCTGTCGAACCCCCAGCAAATTGGTGAGGTTGGCTGTTGGCTGCACCACATCATGCGCGACCATGCGGCAGCCAGAATCAGGCCACGACCTTGATGTTTTGCAAGTAGCCTTTTCTCTTGAGCAGTGCTTGAAGACGCGAGGGCTACAGGCGTGACACCAGAGGGATCATGAGGACATTGACTTTTCCAGCTACTCGGCTGCATGGGCATCAGCGTCCGAGGACACAAGCGCAATGTGCTTGCGTACCACAAAGGCTTTGACGTTGGGCTGAACTCGAGATCAGCGGCAAGAAACATGCCAATGCGGCGCATCAACGACCAGAGCGCATGAGTACTGCGCAGCAAACGCCAAGTATGCCATGATCCAGTGAATCGCCTCGCACCTCAACCGCTGCCGTAGCCGTAGCTGCCGCCATCATCGACCCAAACCAGGATCAACCTCCACGAGCTGGATCAGATTTGTGAAATGGGATAGACCCTGCTCAGTCAAGACACACAGCAAATGAGCAGAGCAAATGCAAGGGCAATCATCGCCCGCCACCATGACATGAACTAAACCAGACCACTCTGCCCCCGTACCCGATACCATCATTTGGGCGCCTCGCTCAGCGTCGCGTTCGTTGCCCCCGCCCCCTTCTACCTAGTCAGATATAAAATAGCATGACAACATTAACGTCCATATAAACGTCAAAAACCACCATCTTTGCTACAACATCCTGACTAATGCATGCACTTGATAGCTTGAGAATATTAATGAGCCTTCAATAACTTTGAAATAATCTACATGAAACCTCAGTTTTAGTACAAAACGTTCAGGTTTAGCTGCGACACATTGCCTTGGCGTTTCAAAAAAAAGTGAAATTTCGCGATATTTTTTTTTTTTTTTTTTCATCTCGATGAGTATTTAGCAGGAGGGGGAAAGATACACAGTAAGAGAGCTACCTTGCGTTGAAGCATAAATATGTGTTGATGGATGCTGCTTACTGACCACTCGAGCTGATGAAGACATGGAACAACAATACCATCAACCACCCCAAAAAGAGAAAAAGAGAGAGGAAGCGATGATGTGCCAATTTTTTTAAATTCGTCAACTGCATGTAGCTATGGATTCACGGCGACTGTGTTGCCGACTGAAAGTCACGCCCACACACCCACACGCACTCACACCTCCTTTCGGCAGCACTTTTCACACAGAACACATGCCATTCATTTATTCATATCTTCTTCATCTTCTCTGTCTTGTCGTGTGGAGCACAGAGCCCACCCTGCACGGAGGTATCCCGCTGCTTTGAGCAAACATCACGAAAACAAACAAAGTAGCTCGCAGCGCGAGACCTGGTTAAAAGAAATCAGCTTCATTGTCATTGGTATCGGGTTCGCTCTTGACGACAGCACCCGTCTGACTTGTGGGCACGTCCATGTACACTTGCGGCTGCTCTTGGGAAGGGCCTCGGGCTGAGTGCGACGAGGCGGGCGTGGTGTCATTGAACAGAGCTCCATACTCGTCCACTTCGCCCTGATCTGCCGGGGTTGTGCTGACAGCGACATATGAGAGCAGGCCAGCGGCACGGGCTTGTTCCACGAGCTTGTCGTTCTCAGGCGTATCTTTGCTGTGCAGGGGAAAGGCATCCAGTCCCACGACAGGGGCCTCGTTGGGGTCGAACAGGTAGGCGCGGACGGGATACAGCTCGCGGTAGGCGCCCTTGATGGCAGCCTCGGAGGCACCGGTAGCGTCGCCCACGGCGACGAGGGCCTTGGCTGAGCTTGAACCACGGCCCAAAAGGTAGTAGTAAACGCAAACGGCAGCCACCGTGTCTGGTTTTTTGCCATCGAGCAGATGCAGGACTTTGCGCACAACATGCACGATATGACGAACAGAGGCCACGTTGCGAAGTTTGAGCTCGGCGCAGATGTTGGGCAAGAACTCGGCTGGATCGGCGCTGCCGACCATGATGCCCACTTCGTCGTGCTCCTCGAGGATGGGGGTGAGATTGCGGCTAGTACGCAACAAGTCGCGCTCGGAAAGGTTGGCGTAGGTGGCAATGACGCGGGCCGGCTTGGCCACGTTATTGTTGCGGCAAGCCAAGAAGAGGCAGGCAGCAGCTATGTACTCGTGACTGCGACTGGTGCGGGTGCCAACGGTCAAGACGGTTTTGCAATAGTGCTTGGCCTCGCGGACGACGTGGGAGCTCTCGAGGCCGATGCGACTGGCCAGGGTCTGAATCATACCATAAACCTTGCTCAGGGTCTTTTGGTTGGTGGCCTGGGTCCGGTGTTGCCATTGTGCCCAGGGCAGCTCAACCTTGGAGTGACCCACCATGGTGGAGAGCTGACCATCCTGATAGAGTTTGTCCTCGGCTGCACCCACGCGCGAGGGGTCGGCATTGGATTTATTCTTGTCCGAGTTGCCGAAATTGCGCCACTCCGTGCCCTGATCAATCACCTCGGCCAGCGCTCGCCCACAGCTGGAGCAAACGACAAACCCTTCGCTCTGGATGGGGATGGAGTCTGGATGCATGCTGCATCGTTCCGCAGCTTCGTGGTCCATCTCACTGATCAACCGCAACCAGCCAGGCCCCAACCAAACACGCGCGTCGACAAGGCCAAAGGAGTACCGCACGTCAGCCGCAAGGGCACACAGTTGCAAAGGCGGCGCCTTTGACCAACTTGAGGTGCTTCTCTGGCTTGTACTTTGATGCTTGCGCCCCAACACTTTGTGGCTAGGTCCAGCAAAACGAGGCGGGGCTGAGACGATTCAGGGTTGCAATGACTCTTGAGCCCTCGACGTCACAGCCAATGGTGCAGATCCAGGGGCAGGAGAAGCCAGGTGAGACACAACCACCCTCTTCACCCCATTCAAGGGCACACCTGCATTCACCAACACCCACCACGCCTCGCCATTCAAAAGTCCGCCAGCAGCAGTCGCCGTTTGCTCGGCGGCCGTATGAGCTCACTCCACCATTCGACTCGGAAAAAAAAATGTCTCTCCTCTCTCTCTCTTTCTGTCTCTAACTTTCTCTCTCTCTCTCTCTGTGTCTCTCTCTCTGTCTCTCTCTCTGTCTCTCTCTCTGTCTCTCTCTCTGTCTCTCTCTCTCTCTCTCTCTCTGTCTCTCTCTCTGTCTCTCTCTCTCTCTCTCTCTCTCTCTCTCTCTCTCTCTCTCTCTCTCTCTCTCTCTCTTTCTCTGATTCTCATTCTCTCTCTCTCTCTCTCTCTTTCTCTGATTCTCATTCTCTCTCTCTCTCTCTCTCTCTCTCTCTCTGTGTCTCTCTGTCTCTGTGTCTCTATCTCTATCTCTGCAGCATGTCAGCAAAAAGAAAATGCTGACATTGGGTGATGAGAGATTTGACGTGGCAGCTTTCAGTAATCATAAGGGCCCGCCTAGAACAGTCTTTTGTATCAAGCACATTCACACACACACACACACATGTACAACACACAACACACACATTCTCTCACACACAACATTTTTCTTGCTTTGCATGCTTTTTCTCTCTCTCTCTCTCACTCTCTCACGTTTTTTTTTTTCCGAGGCGCTTGAGTCAGTGTGCATCAAGGTTTAGAGTGCACCGTTGAGTGGGTCGAAGTGTCGGGGCGCGGATCGCGGGCTGAGCCTTGGATCTGGGTATTGGCGAGGCTGGCTTGAAGGTTGATTCAGGCCTGCATTTTGCTGGATACGTTTTGAGAGGCCGTCGGTAGCAGTGGGAGCGGCGGCATGACGGGCGGGACGGGGGGCGGTCAGGCCGCACCGGCACACTCGCTCTTGGATCTGCTCTTCTGCACGGCTGGAATCTATGCCTCGTACATCACGTACGGCTACCTGCAGGAGGGGCTCTACGAATATGTGAGCCCGACGGGCCAGGCCTTCAAGGCCATGGGCTCTGCCACGGTCACACTGTTGATCGTGCAAGTCTTGCTCAGCGGCCTATACGCCTTGATCACGAGTATCATCAAGAAGGACAAGCCCATGGGCTTGGGCTTGGACTTTGCCGTGCCGGGACTGACCTACATTGGTGCCATGCTCTGCTCCAACGAAGCACTCAAGTATGTCAACTACCCCACCCAGGTTCTGGCCAAGAGCTGCAAGCTCGTGCCCGTCCTCCTGGTCAACGTGCTCTACTACGGCCGCCGACCCAGCATGCTGCAGTACCTTCACGTGGCCCTCGTGACCGTCGGCATCATCCTCTTTCGCTGGAAGGCTGGTCGAGACAGCAGCGAGTCCAACACCACCTATGGCCTCCTTCTCCTGGCCATGAGCTTGGCCATGGACGGCATCACAGGCCCGGCCCAGGAATGGATCCGAGATCATCACAAGCCCAGCAACGAGCAGTTTATGTTTTACTGCAACCTGTATGGCCTGGTCTACCTCCTCGGTGGCCTTTGCTTCATGGAAGACGGCCTCAATGGTCTGCTCTTTGTGGTCGATCCTCAAAATGCCCCTTTCCTCGGCCGCCTCATCGTCTTTTGCATTTGTGGTACCATTGGTCAAAACTTCATCTTCCTCACACTTCGCAAGTTTGGGTGCGTTCCGTCACCCGCGTTATGCGCCCGCTCGCTTGACCCAAACCCTGAAAGCCTTGTCGGGACGGGGATGCGCTCACTCACGCTCTGTTCGCTCCGCATCTGGCAGGAGCCTGGCCCTAACGACCGTGACCACGACGCGCAAGTTTTTCACCATCCTCTTCTCGGTGGTGGCCTACGGTCACGTCCTGGGCTTCTCGCAATGGATTGGGGTGCTCGTGGTCTTTATCGGCCTCTCCGTGGACGCCGTCGAGAAGATGCAGAAACGCAGCTCCTCGGCGCCCAGCTCTAAAAAACGTAGATGACTAGTTTCGGACCCGCTGCTGGTGGTGGAGCCTCTCCCATTGGTTCACCCCAAATAGCCGTGTCGCTTTGGTTTAATTTGTCTCCCTTCGCTTTCGACCGATGGAATGGATTTTCTCTTCGATTTGTGAGTTCCATCCAACGAATGTGCTCCAGTGTGCGGCTCGTGACGGATACCTTGCAAGGCCCTTCATCAAAGTGCGGCACACATCAGATTCAAGGTTTCTGTTGGTTGCGCTCTGCTCTTTACACACGAGCACAGCCATCCGTTTTGTTTCTTCTTGTTGTTTTTTTCTTCGAGCTAGAATCGATCAGGCCCCTTCTTGCAATTATTTATGCACCCACAAGCTGGTTTTTAAAAGTCTGACATTCATATGCCCATGCGTTTACACGCAATGTTAAGATGATAATTTTCTTCTCGATGGGTGACTCGCATGCCACAAAGGCGTGTTGATGCAGCCCTGCCTTCCCAAACTCAACTCACAACTGAAGATGCACCAAACCCCAATGCCAAAGGCGTGCAGTATCTGTCGCACCAACAAATGAGAAGTGCTTGCTTTCACTTGTAGTAGCCACGGAGGACGGCAACACAACAATGTGGCACGAAAACACACAAAAAAAAGAAGGATGGCTCATCGAAAGTGGACATCGGCATCGTTCATGGCGCTCAATAAGCTACGGGATGCAACGCCACGAGGTAATGAGCTCCCAAATTCTGGTCAAAGTTGGATAAATGGGACCCCTTTGAACATGACGGGCTATCACCACGCACCTGAGGAAATCATCAACATCGAGTTGCTTGGCGCGCTTTTCGCCAAAGCCGGTGGTCGTCAGCACGGCATCGATGTGATCCTTGATGTCAAACTTGTCTGGCACCTCCTGTTGTTTGTGCATGGGCAGGCCGAGGGAGTAAACAAGTGAGCACCCCTTGCTGCAGCCCTGGGCACGCTTTGCCCAACCCGGAACCAACAAAATTAGGGCCAAGTCCACCAACCCGGGGTGGTTGCGCGGCGGCGCAGAAGATGCGGTAGTTGCTCTCAAGAAGCTTGAGCACGCTCTGGTCACGGAAAGGTGGGTAGCCGGGTGAGGTTGCCGAGGTTGCCGAAGTTGCCACTCCCGCCTGCTCTGTGTGTGTGTGTGTGTGTGTGTGTGTGTGTGTGTGTGTGTGTGTGTGTGTGTGTGTGTGTGTGTGTGTGTGTGTGTGTGTGTGTGTGTGTGTGTGTGTGTGTGTGTGTGTGTGTACATGCAAGAATGAGCAGAAGCAGAAAGCGACTCACCTTGGAATGGAAACAGGCTGCCAGAGTTTTGTTCTTGCGGATAAAGGCAATGCGCAACAAGCCATCCCATTCCTGGTGCAAGTGTCCCGGCGAGTGAGCTAGAGCAGGACCACAATGTGTTGCTGCTGCTGTTGGCAACCTGGCAAGCCTTTGGCGTGACGTTCGCACCTCAAAATCGACTGGCGGAGGGGGGTTGCGCGGCTCGATGCGTACAACGGACGACTCGACCTTGGGCGGTGGCCGAAAGTTGTTGCGGCCCACCTGCACAAACATGGCGAAACAACAGCAAGCACATTTACCACCACCACCACAAAAAAAAAGGAGAGAGAGAGAGAATAAGAAGAAAAAGAATTGGCAAGAGCAAGACAAAAAAAAGTTGGGGTGCGAGAAGGCACACGAAACGATGCGCTTAGGCACACCTTCATGACGTGATCAACGCGGGCCAGGAGTTGTGTGTTGACGCTGAGACGACAGTAGAGGGCATCGCCTGGCTTGGCGACTATCCGGGCAACCACACGACCAGGCAGAGATGAGGACAGGGTGGCCTGCTGCATCCCCCCGGTACACACATGCCATTCGTGCAGCGTCTGTTGTGCTTCGTCAATATGATCGAGCAGGTCGTACCCAGACGCTGGGCAAATTCGCGCTGAAACATGAGCACGGCGCAGCGGAAAAGGGGACGATGAAGCAGAATCTTAAACACAAAGGGAGACGAGATCTGATAGGGCATGTTGGCCACGCAAACGTCAAAGAAGGGCAGGTCGGCCTTGAGGACGTCACCCATGACCAAATGCAACTTCCGATGCAACGGCCTATCATCGGGGACACGGTCAGAAAAAGCACGATACAGCGCCGCGCTAGACGAGAAGCGAGGCCGAGGCGGGATGGGCGGGATGGACGTACGTGCCCATGACACGCTTCTGTAGTTCAGCAGCCAGGCGAGGATCAACCTCACAAGCCACGACCTGGAGATCGTGCGTCACCACAGGCAGGTCAGATCAATGTCAGAGGGTCGAAGGTTGAAGCTGAAAGGTAGGCAGCACGGGCGTTTTTCGTTTTTTTTTGGAGCTGGAAAATCTCTCTCGCAGGCGCCGGGGGTCACACCTTTTTGCCTTTTTCAAGGAGCTTGACCGTCAGGTTACCGGTACCGGGACCAATTTCAAGGACCGTGTCCGTTGATTTGATGGCGGCCTGTGCGCAGTCAAAGGGGCACGAATACGCCACATGTTGAGCGGGTGGGTCGGGGCCTGCGAAATACACCACGATGCGCTGCGAGCTGCGGTCACCTTGTCAATGATGCCCTGGACAACGAGGGGGTTTTTCAGGATATGCTGACCAAAGTCCTTGTTGAAGACAATACCGCTCTTCACGGCCGAAGCCGCGGCGGCAGCGCGAGGAGTGGAAGCCGGCAGGACCTCATCGGTTGAGCGGCCGCGGCCCGACTTTTTCATCTTGCCCATGGCGGGCGGGTGTCTGGGTGTTTTGATTCACCGAAAATATTGAAGCAGGCCCTGTTAAAGAACCCAAGCCGCTCGACATCCAATGCAAAGAGCACGATAAAGACAAGTGCACAGGGGTATAGGATCGAGGCCAAGCGCAGGAAACCAGAGAGCTGAAGACCAGAAAGGAAAAAGGAAGGCGCAGGAAACCCAGAGGGAGCGCTGGAGACCGGGGGGCGCGCGCGCCAATAAATTCAACTCGTCGACCAAAACGCTGCCGCCCCGCCTTCACGTGGTAGTCTGACAATACCTCGAATCTAACAATACCCCGGCTATTTAAACAACCTCTTATTGCCAGTTTATATGGAAAATTATACTCGGTCACGGCTTGCGTGTGGTGGAGAGCTTGCATGTGGGGTAACACACTGACCGTCCAGCGTCTGACATTCGTGTTACGATGTTGTGTGCGGTCCCCTTGTCGTCCGCGTCTCTGCCCGTAAGGGTAAAGGCGTAGGCGAACTGCCCCGGGGAAGGTCTGAGAGGAGAGCAACCTCCCCTCGTGAGGAGGGCGGTCATAATGTGGCTGCATGGCTTACCAGCAACGTGACATGTTGTACGTCACGCGCCTGAGCGGTCTTGGTCGTCGTGGAGGCCATGGGGGCTGGTAACAGCCTGCGTGGTGGAGACGTTTGTGAGTCGTTGGGGTTTGAAACTTGGGGCTGTGGCTCAGCAACTGGAGTTCAATTTGCAAGGCAGGGCGCGGCTTTGGCCGTCCTTGGAACACAATTCAGACTACTCCTCGACCACACGCGCCCTTTCTTTTTTTCTTTCCATCGTGTTGTTAAATTGAACGGTGCTCCACTTCGTCCTTTGGCTTATTTTCCTGCACCCATTGTTGCCGCGGGTGTCTGACGACGCCTTCCTGCATAAGGGTTGTCGGTGGCTATTGCTGATGTTTGGTGCAGGCTGGTCGTCATGTCTAGGGGGTTTGAATTGCCGCCGCCTCGAATATGCCTGGCTGGAGGATCAAGGACCAACCCCGAGCTGCACTGCAAGCGGCTATCGCAGCTCACCCTTGAGGTCGTGCGCAATGCTCTGTCGCACCCGATCCTGGATCTCATTGACCTCCTCGGTCGTAAATGTCCTACAAGTCCCAAATCGTCACGTCAGCGCCCCGCCCGAGGATGGCATTGACACGCTGCCTCGGCGACAAACACACTCACTTGTCCATTGAGCGATACACGATGCGATAGCAGTGGCTGGTGCGACCATGCTTGGGGTGCGTAAACTCATCAATCTACACGCGCACGTGTGTGTGTGAGGAGAAGGGGGGGTTGAGTACGCGTCCGGCATTGGCGTGAGCCTTAGCCCGTTGACAACGAAGGACAACGAAGGAAGAAAGCACGACGCCTCCGCTTTGGGCCTCTGCTTTGGGCCTCCGCTTTGGGCCTCCGCTTTGGGCCTCCGCTTTGGGCCTCCGCTTTGGGCCTCCGCTTTGGGCCTCGGCTGGCTTTGCACAACAAAACATACCAGGAAAATGCTCTCCACCAGATCACCGGCAATCTCGCGCACTAAATCCGCCAAATGGTTTGGCGAATACGCCTCAGGCAACCAGAATGTCACGTCCCGGTCCGTGGGCGGGTACTTGCTAAATGGCTACAAAATGTCCCTGATCAGCCTTGCACACGACAAGGCGAGCCTCACTAAGACGGAGCTTGCGCCTCCTCACCTGAAACTTCATGCTGTGCAGAGGTCGATCAGCTGCAAATTGCTGCAAAAAGCGCTCGTCTGTCGACCAGAACAAACGAATGTCCGGAATCTCAAACAAGATCATGGCGATGCGCTCGAGACCTAGGCAGAAAAGCACAATCGTTTTCTGAGCTTCATCAGCACGCGAGGCCACGCACCAAAAAATGCAGACCTACCAATGCCAAAGGCCCATCCGAGGCAATGATCGGTCCCTGCCTCATTAAGGATTGCCTGCTCCACAACCCCACACCCCAGAACTTCCAACCACTCGCCCTGCAAGCGTGAAGAAAGAGGCCAGATGTATCAGGACCATCACACTAGGTTCCCCAAAAAGTTGCTTTGCAACCCTTCTTGGCGCCCGGGCAAGATGCCTAAGACGGCCGGTCATGGGTGCAGCTATCTCGTATCCCCCACCTGGTAAAAGATCTCTAGCTCAAGGCTGGGATGAGTAAAGGGAAAGTAGGCTTCGACCCATCGCTGTTCCACTTCCCCAAAAAGGTGCTCAATCAGGCCTAACATGTACAGGCAGCGCGCGGGGGGCATCAGGCTGTCGGGGCACACTAATTTGATCAAGATGGGCAGCCTCGCTCGATGGCCCTGTGAGGTGCTGGCCGTACCCGAAAGCGTGGCCTTGAGATCGTTAAGTGCATAGGTGGCAGCGTCGAGGGTGTGGGCCTCTTGATGTTCGGGCCGACGATCGCTGCGGTCCGGCGTTGCGCCCTCATGTATCTATGGGGCGTAAAACAAAGAAAAAATTGTAAGCTGTGCTGCCTCCTATCCAAAATGATGCTCACTGCATGTGGGCCGACTGCAGTCACGGTAAAAGTGCGTATCAAAAGGAGCGGGCTGCGATATGACCCAGCCTAACGCACCACGACATCTCGCAACAGCTTGACGCCTTCCACTTGATGGAAGACGGGATAGTGATTTCTATCAATCTCGTCTGCAGCCACACGGAACGACCGGCCCTTGGAATCAGCGTGTTGTGCACGCGACCTGCCAAACACGGGCCTTGGCGGCGGACAGCGGGAGAGGACGACGTGCGGGTTGAATCGTGATCCCCCCTACCTCGCCGATAGACATCACCAAAGACCAGAAAGGCATCGAGGCCCTGACGAATCAGCTCTGCCTGATGAGCACTTGTGTGGGCTCGCAAGAGTTGTTCCTTGTTAATCTGTGAGAGAAGCGCAAAAGACGGAGGTTGAGCTCTGGCGCGTGTCCTGCACAAAGCTTGGAGACCCGGCATGGTCCGGCACGCACATAGTAGTTGTCGCTGCGGCTGCGGCTGACGTGGTCGGCCGGGACCAACAGCGAATCGAAATTTTGCTGGACGGTAACAACGGGATGCAGGCTGTCGAAGATGGCGAAGGAGGGCCGACCACGCACGCGAAAGCGGTCCGTCTGAAAGTAATTGGCAATGGCCCCCTGTTGTGGCCATATGGCCCCAAAACACCACTGTAAGCTCAAGCTCCGGGCAGGCACAGAATGCAGGAAAAGCCAGCAGGAATACCGATCAATGGTTGCAAGGGAGGCAGGCAACATGCCTTGAGAATTTGCAAGGGATGGTCGGGCTGGAGGTGCAGCTGGCGCTGTGTCTTGACCAGGATGGAGGGTGTCACGTTTCCATACTCATCCGGCACGAAGCTCCGCCCAGCCACCTCAATCGGCTCTCCCGACACCAGCTGCTGTCGACATGCCAGCGCTACATGCAGCGACCTGACCCCCACAACGCTGCCAACCTGTGTCCAACCCGCCCGGACCCCTGCTACCGCCCGCATCGCCGCTGCCATCTCGCAGCCCGTGTGTGTGTGTGTGTGTGTGTGTGTGTGTGTGTGTGCCGCGTGACTGATGTGAAAATGTCAGCATCAGTGTGAGTTTTATGCAGAAGATTTATGACTTAATGCAGATATCATGACATGCCTTTGGTTTAAAGTTGCAGATACATTTAGAGTTTATGAAGGTGTTGGCCCAAGAACGACCATCCATCTTGCAGTGACTTACATCCATCAATTGCAGGGACCTTCGGTTGACTGACGAGTCCCCCGCAGTCTAGCTAACCTATCATGGTTGGAAATATGCGTCAGGGAAAGGCCGAGCCGCCATACAGGACCGCATGGCCCTCTGCGACGGGGCAGAGCCAATGCCACCAGTTGGCTGGGATAAAGAGGGTGGGCAGCTCCTCAGGAACAGCGTGCAAGTCAAAGAGGTAGCCGCCAGCCTGGGCCACGCGCCGCCGCAAGGATAGCAAGTCTGCATGGGTGGCAGGAACGTCATCCCAGTCAGCCGCCCAGGTCGTCTCTGGCGGAAGTAGCATGACACGCTTGCGCCCGCGCAGCGCCGTCAAATAGGTATGCACAGGCACGGCACGTGGCGCATAAATGTCGCGATGGCAGCCAATGTGCGCATCTCGGTGGCTCAGAATCACTTGGTCGTAGGTGGGGACGTGCACGCTGGCTGGAAACCACCACGAAGGGTGTGTCATGCGTGGGTACTCAAAGGTGGCCCAACACCGCCGGTCTGCATAAACGGCCTCTTGCACAATTTCCTGGGCCTCTTGATGCCCGCTCAGGCACTGTCGCTCGTTTTCGACGTCTACGTTGGGGAGTCGGCTGCTTGAACTGCGGTACAGGGTCTGCGCCAGCGCCAACAACTCTTCAGCCGCAGTCGGTGCTGCCGCCGAGTTGTCGTCAGCCATCTGCTCGTGTAGTTCCTGGAGGGTGTCCTCCAGTTCAGAAAGGCCAACCCCTTGCAGCGTCCAAAAGGGTCGTCCTGCTGTCAAGAGACGACGACGCGGCCGTCCGGCAAAATCTGGCGCAATGTGGGGACAGGTCTCGACCGATGACTCGTCCTCCGATGCAGATTCAATCTCTTCCGCGGGCTCTGGCATCCAAGGGAAGGCATCGCGTGCGGGATACTCGCCATCAAAATACACACAAAGAGAGCAGGCGGGAGCCAAGTCCTCGCCCATCGGCCCATCCAAACGGTCCTCACAGGCTTTCTCGAGCGGCACAGGTTTGTCATTTAAGGCTGCGCCAGCCTGAACAACGCTTTTGACCGCAATCTTGTGCGGTCGAGACTTGGCATGCTTGCGCTGAGCCCGCTCCCCCGCCGCTCCCTCAAGATGCCCATCCACCACCAGCTGCCCACAAAGCTGACAGATCACCCCGCCCGCCATCCTCTCAACACGCGGCCGTCCTTCCAGCTCCGCCGCCGTCTTCAAAATGATGACAATTTCGAGCGAGTGTGTGTGTGTAGAGAGAGATAGAGAGAGAGAAAGAAAAGCAGAGGGATGAAGAGAAAGACACACACACACACACACACACACACACACACACACACACACACACACACACACACACACACACACACACACACACACACACACACACACACACACACACACACACACACACACACACCAAAAACAGGAGCAAAACGACTCTCGGATCCCTTGGATCGTGCGTAATGACAATGGGAGAGGCATCGAGACGGGGACCTTCACGTTAATATAAATTGGACCGGAACACACACCAAGGCATCGGAAAGCGTGTGTGTGGACCAGGGCACATGGGCACTCTGAACGACTCGATAGGGACAAAACACAACAGAACCAGATGCTTCTCTTCTAAGCATCAACAGTATCAGGGAAAACAACGGCAGCTCGGTTATTGGGCCTTGTCCGCCTTGGCAGCGCTCTTGGCGTGTGCGCGCTTGGCTCGGTCAAAAAGCACGAAGAAGATGAGCATTGACATGTCTAGGGTGGGCAAAGGATGCATCCAGTGGCGAAAGCAAAGGCAGGCATGAAGCGTGAGGATGCCAATAAAGCTGGGCCACATTGAGGCTCGACATGGCGCGGGGGCTTGTTGTGTCGCAGTGCGAAAAGATGGCACGTACAGACAGCCTGAATCCAGCACCAGGAAAAGAAGCTGCTGTGGCAGTAAAAGACGCCGTAGGCCGCCACAAAGGCATAGAAGATGCAAAAGGCAAACTGGGCCAGCTGCAGCATGGTGACAAAGCGACCATACTTGCGGATAGCGGGCACCCGCACAGCCACGGCAAAGTATGCATACTACCATACGTTCGAGTGGCCATGTACAGAAGAAGGGGGGAGGGGAGGACGCACAGGATGCACAGGATGAGGAAGTGCAATCATCGGATTCCGAGGAAAGGAAGCGATCCAGGTGCTGCCGTACGGCTGACAAACACTTTCATGTCTCATGATAACAGCGTGATGGGCCACATACCATGACCACGTGGACAAAGGTGTTGGTGATGACGCCCATGAAGCTTGAGTCGACGGGCAAAAACCAGGCGTGCCAACCGATTGAGGGAGTAATGGCATGATGGTATAGCTAGATGATGTGCCAAGATGGGACAAGTGGCAGGAGTTGAGGTGAGCTCCAGATACTTTCTTTTGTCGCTCAGACCCACAGCGCCCCCCTCTGCGTCTCGCGCTCGCTCTTCCTCCCGCTTGACAAGGCATAAAGTGGCCGAAAATGTTGCTTCTCCAACTGTTCTGTCTTTGACTGGTCAACATGCCGCACGGTGGGGCGGGTGGGCGTGATGGTACACACCTGAAGGTACCAGGCCACGGGCAGGCCCTGCTCATGCTTTTTAGCGAGGACAAGGAGGACCGTGTCGATCATCTCAATGTACTTGGAGGCATGAAACCACCAGAACCAGTACTCCATGCCTTGACGCAGCGTCCACTCGCGATCGCAGGCCAGCAAGGTCGCATCGTAACTGTTGGCTGTGGCAAACAAGATTGCGTGAGCTTGGTATGCCGCCATGCGCGATATGAAGAGTCAGAGGTGGCGGGCAGAGGCCGACGGCTAGAGGCCAAAGGGGAGACAAGATGTACCATGCAGGTTGCGCCAGAGGGTGGAGGTGATTCCCACGCACATCCAGGCGGAGAACAAGCTCATGACGGCGTTGTAAATGACCTTGAACTGCATATTTGGGTTTGAGGATGGGGCAACTCTGTCAGGACACTCAACGGGTGGATACTTGGGGCAAGGAAATGGGGGGGAAGGGGCTCAACTGACTGTTTTGAGTTCGAGCCGGGGCCAACTCTTGGTCACGCGGATGACAATCTAATTCCAAACATCAAGGGCAAGAGTATCAGGCCGGCAAGTGAGCTGGGCGATCCAGGTACAAGTAGGTGATCTGGAGCACGGGCGAGCTGGGGACGAGCAAGTGTACCTGGATGGTAAGAAGATAGAGGGCCGGGCAGATGACGAGATCAACCCACATTTGACCGCGCCAGCGTGCTGCTGGGTGGTCTGGGGTGCGGGCGTGCCAATCTGCTTCGGGCCATAGGGCAAGTTCCGGCCAAGCGTCGGGCCACAACATGATGTTGGCTTGAAGAGGATGCTTCACCAGAGCTTGAAGAAGTCGGTAGTTGCTGAGAAGTTTAAGAGCTGTGAGAGCTCAAGACTTGGGTGTCCAAGATCTGCGATACCGCTGGAGCAAGGAGGAGATGGATCGCCAGCAGAGAAGGGGGAAGATCTGGCAACCTTCGCGCCGCGGGGCGGGTAATCAGATAAGAATCGTGGGCTTGCACCCTGGTTGAAGAAAAACGGTCACCGTGACGGCACAACACTAAGGAGATTGGAAGCGCTCTGCTTGAAAGGAGCCAGATGAGAGGATGAGCTGGCGTGTGAACGATATCGGCATGTGAGGAAACCTTTACGCCTGATCATGTATGTTCCAGTCTGGGAGCAAGAGTAGCGATCACACGGTAGGAAAGACTCGGCAAGGCGGAAGCAGACGAGTGGCTGGCATGACAGGAAGGCCTCATTTCGAGCGCACGGCCAGGAGAAAGACGACGAGAGGGAGTGAGGGAGCGAGACAGAGAGAGGACTGACACAGACCAGCGCAAACAGGAGAAGACAGATTGACAGACAGAGTCACAGACAGAGCAGAGCGGGGGAGAAGAAACCCATCAGCACCGCAGACGAGAACGAGAACAGCAGCGGTGCCCCAAGCCGGCCCGACACGACGCGACGAATACGGCGCTGCAGCAGCAGCAGCAGGACTGCACACTTTGCACACACCGCCCACCTGGCGCGTACCTCTACACTTGAATTGTAAATTATCACACGTCTATGCCATATTAAACTGGTATAGGTGTTGTGTGTGCCACACATAAAAGACGTTGGAGTCACACTTGGCGGTCTGTGACCCCTATACACGTGCTCAAAGGGCAAAAAGGTGTGTCAACTTTTTATTTACTTGTGGTACTTTTTAATTATAATGCCTAAGCCTACGCTGTTTAACTCGTGGGCGAACCTCCACAGCTGGCACATCGCCTATTCTTAGCCCTATAAAGCAGTCTTTTTATAGACCATTAGTGCTTGTAAGAACTAAAATTCTAGTTTATGAACTGGAATAGAGCTCTTATGCAGAAATGTTAACACCTCCCATGTTAGTTATCGCAGAGAAAAATCTTGTTTCAGACGAGCGGCCGAGATGGCTCCCTGCACGCAATTTCGGACTTCTCACACACACCTCCGCCGTCGCTCCTGACTCTTGAGCTCGCCTCACGTGCTATCTCGTTCACTTTCTTCCTCGCATCGCTTGAGATCGCCTGTTGCTGCTCCCTGCCCCTCTCTCCTTGCCCTCTTTCTCTCTCCCTCTCCCTCTCTCTTTCTCTGTGTGTGCTGCTAGCTCTTGTGGCCTTCTCTAAAATAGTTTTGTCGCCCTCCCCGCTCGGCTCGGACTCGAACTCTTTCTCCTCCTGGCTTGGCGAGTGCTGATCTGCAGGCTTGTTGCAAGCGCTTTGGATTCAAAACACGCCACCATGTTTCGACAGCACATGGCTGCTCACAACCCGTTTATGCCTCATCGGCTGGTCCAAAACCCCTACCATTGGCCACTTTTCACGCAACTCGAGCTGCTCCAGAACACCATCGAACAACGACGCACGACACCCACCATTGGGTTTGAAATCACAAATGAGCTCAACTTTGGCACGTTGACGATCGATCCCGACGACGAGGATACCGAGCCCACGAATGAAGACCTCACCCGCACCATCTCCATTATTAACCACACCCCGCGTAACTGTACGGTACGTCGCCCTCTTGGTTCTTGCCTTTGAACCACAGATCAGCACCCCGACACCATGCACCTCCTTGCCCCCCGCTAGCACCAATCACACCACTGAAGTTTATCAAGCTTTTGCAACTTTTTTTTTCTCGCATCACTAACATACACTGGCCTCTGCTTCTCCCTTCAGGTTATAGGACTCAAGTGCCTCCAGCCCACCCGGGCCCTGTCGTGGGATTGCCATGATGTACCCTGCAAGGCCCGCCCAAACACAGAGGAGACGATTGAGTGCTACCTGGATCTCAGCGAACTGAGCTTTGAGCACACCCCCTTTGTCCACATTGATATCCATTTGGTCGTTATGATTGCGGAGCCTGGACTCAACGCCGCCACCTGCCACCCTATCCACGTCACGGCCTTTGTTCGCAATGCCGCCGCCCTCCGTGATCTTGATCCTCGGAGTGCCGAGTTCTATCCTCCCACCTTTTACACCGCCCTTTCTCGGCGCACTCTTGTCGACACGCTCCCCACGTCCGTCTTTGACGCGGGCGCCCTTCCCGAGGTGGCCCAACCCCCGCCTACCCAGGACATTGCGCTTTTCAATGCCAAGCGTGACGTTGAGGTCGCCGAGCAGCAAGCCCGCCCCTCCAACCTAAACCCGCCCCAGCTTCAAAGCCGCCTTCTCCAACTCGAAAAGGCACAACACGTGCTGGACGTGGATAAACTCACAATCATGGGTGTCAAGTGGCAGTTCAAGCGGCGAACATTCATCAAGGATGAAGAGGTCGTTTTTATCGCCGTCACCGTGCCTGGCATGCTCGAGGGCCGCCCCCATCTCGTTCCCGCAGACCCAGTGGAGCTTTCCTGCATCTATAGCACTTCTGCGGGAGAAGTCAAGGCCCCGTCCTACCTCTGTCGTGTCTGGAACAAGATTGGTACCGATGAGGTCCTGCTCGCCTGTCCCCACACCCTCAAGCTTGACAAGCCTGGGCCCGCCACGACCGTAGCCCTGCGCTTCTTCGCTCAGACCCACGCTTTTGACTTTCTGCAAACCTGCATCACCGACAGCATCCCCAGCACAATGCAAGACCCAGTGATCAATGACTCAAAGGTAGCTCTGCCCCGCCCTGCTTGCCATCGTCACACCTAGACTTGCTACAGCGTCGGTCATCCGCCCGCAGCCCCGAGGCCATCCTACACCTCTCACTCTGTCATCGCATGCTTTTAGCTTGAAGCCCTCACCAATTTAATCCAAAGGGTTGACATGCCCTGTACCTTCTTCAACGACGCTCTCAATCCCGAGCAGAAGGCTGCTGTCCTCACCACGCTTCGCCGCACCAAGCACCTGCTGAAGAAGAAAGTCAGTCGTCTACCACCATTCCTCGTTTGGGGCCCACCTGGCACAGGTAAGCAGCTCTGCCCTCCAACGCTGGTCTTCTGCGTGATGTTTTTTTTTGTTTTTGTTTTTTTGAAATCTGGCAGCGTCCAAGTGCTCAACCTTTTGCTCCTAACGCTTGCTGTGCATTCGCTAGGCAAAACGGAGACGGTGGCGGAAAGCGTTTGTCAAATTTTGGCTCGGCCTGAATTGGGCTCAATCCTGGCGCTCTGCTCGTCGGATGCTGCTGCTGACGTCCTAGCACAGCGCTTAATCTCCAAAATGGTCACATCGCAGCAAATGCTGCGACTCAACTGGCCTTGGCGCTTTCGTGCAGAACTGCCGACACCACTCCTCGCCTTTTCGCGCCTCTCGCCCGAAGGCCGCTTTATCATACCTTCGGAGCACGAACTCAATGCCATCCCCATCATCATTTGCACCACCATGACCGTCAGTCTCCTACCATGCAACTACTCCTGCAACACCATCATTGTGGACGAGGCTGCACAAGCCATTGAGGCCGAGCTGTACACGCCCCTGCGTTTTGCCACCAAGCGCACCAACTGGGTGCTGGTTGGCGACCACAACCAGTTGGGTCCCGTGGTTCGCAACGCCAAGGCACGTGAATGGGGCCTCGGCCGATCGTTGCCGGAGCGCCTCATCCAGTACCCGGTCTACCGGCCCAGCATCGACAGCCCCCTCTGCGTCCGACTCTGCAAAAATTATCGCTCCCACCCGGCCCTGCTCGAGTTGCCCTCTCGTCTCTTCTACGACAACCAACTCGAGGCCTGCGGAAACCCTCTTGAGCTTGACAGCCTGTCCACCTGGTCAAAACTGCCAGTGGAGCACAATGTACGTCCCTTTGCTGGCGCCCACAAAGCACTTGCCATGCGCTCTGCTGCAGCCCGACCTAACAATTGCGTGTGCACATTTGTACGACGGACAGTGTCCCATGCTAATTCACGGCGTGAATGGAAGCGCCATTCGTCTTGAGCACTTGGGTGGCTTATGCAACCCGGCCGAGGCTGCAACCGTGGTCAGCTTTATTCAGCGGCTGCTCGATGATTATCCTGGCCACCTCTCGCCCAAAGACTTTGGCGTGATTGCCCCCTATCGCCTTCAGGTGGGTGACGCATTGGGCGGCAACTCGTGTTTTTGGCGTTTACTCTGACGTGACAGCATGGCCTTCAGGGCACGAAAGGTAGCGCTTGTGGTTTGATGTCTCACGGCTCGGGTATGTATTCTCTCAAAACAGGTGCGGCTACTGCGCAAGCGTATGCGTGAGGTTGACCTGGGCGCTGTTCGTTGCGGCACGGTGGATGACTTTCAGGGCCAAGAGGCCAAGGTGAGGAGTGGACAGACCCACAAAAGAAGTCTCTTTACCCAGATTGTGCGCGCGTGTACATTCATGGTTGTAACAATGGTATGTTTGCGATTGAGAAAACAGATTATTATCGTGTCCACTACGCTGGCTGGGGAGCTGGCCCTGCTCAAACACCGGGCCAACTCGGACCCCGTGGGCCATTTGATGCGCGACAGCCCAGACTGGGATCTCTTGGGCAACCGACACCGCTTCAACGTGGCCATTACTCGTGCCAAGGTAAGAAGGCCCCTGATATCAACGACACGTGGCCCTTGAGGATTTGATAGTTGGTGGCGTCTCATGACTGTGTCACTTGTGCTTTGAAAAAAAAAACCGAAAAAAAAACGAAAAAACGAAAAAATTATATCCCATGCAAGGCCTTGATGGTTGTTGTGGGTGATCCACTGGCGTTGTCGCGGGAGAACTATTGGAGCCAGCTTTTACGCCATTGTCTGGAGCGCGGGGCCTATAGTGGATGTGCATGCCCGGGCCTGATTCCAGACCACCTGGTCACAACGCCCGGTCATCCCCGCCATGTAGTTTCGAGCGGTGCTGCCCAATACCTGGGTGGCAGCGCCGATCGCTCTGCTACTTGGGGTGACCGCAACGATCTCAATGATCTTTACGCGGACAGCATGGAATTGCGACGGGTCTTTTGAATTGCACTTTTTGAATTGAGCGAACGACGTTCATGGCATGTGTTAAATTTCTCAGTGGCATTCGATAGCAAACGATTCTCTTATAACCATTAAAGCAGGGGCGTGGGTGGCCGAGCATGACTTCGAGCGACAACACGGCGAGGGACTCGAGGGGGAGGCCATGGTGCTGAATCTAGGGGCGCCAGGCAAAGTCTGCAATGACGGGTTTGTGATCGGAAGAGACATTGCCTCGATCAATGATACAGTTGGTGCAACGCAAATGATCCTCCCAGGCGCGGTTTGTATAGATGTAGTCAATGCGGGTGTTGAAGCGGCATGTCAAGACACTGTCGCTGCGGCGGTTACAGCGGGCATAAACGTCGACCCAGCCGGCGTCGGCAATGGTCTCGCAAAGGGAGGAAACGGGGGCTTCCCAGTTGGTACGGGCGCGAATATGGGCGATTTCGGCCCAACGGGTCTCAGAGTAGTCAGACTTGGTAAGGGCATTGAAATCACCGGCAAAGAGCTGGGGGCGGGCTTTGCGGGGTGCGGGCTCGCTGTGGATGCGCATTACCTCCTGCCATTCCGTGTGTCGAGTGGGCTCGCGCCGATGATCCAAATGCACGTTGTGGAGCAGGAGCGAAGGATGGCCCTCGATGTCGAGCTGCACACACTTGATGCGCAGCTGTTGGCGGCCAGAAGGGCCGGCACCGCGCGGTTGCTCCGGGGAGCCGTCCTTGGGCCGCACGGCGGCAGGCAGACTGACCATGGGATGGCGTGACAGGATGGCGTTGCCAGCAAAGGTCACAAACGCCCATTTGGCTGCGGGGCGTGGCCCAGGGGCGCAGCGGGTCAGAACCTCACAATACCACTCCAGCACCATCTTTCCCAAAGGGTTGAGGTCTGGCACCAGGCGACTCGTGTAGCTGGCATCGTCCTTGGTAAAGAGGCGAAAATTGCTAAATTCTTGAAGGAGGTACACGTCGGCATCGTACGCGACGAGCTGAACCAACATTTCGTCAAGGCGCGGCTGCCCGTCGTCATCCTGCAAGCAGTGCACGTTCCAGGTGCAAACACGCAAGGCGTCGGGGTCGTGCGCCACACCCAGCTCTGCAGGTGGTCGCCAGTTTGGCAACAGGCCTGCCGCGCTTGCCATGCTTGCCAATCGTCCTCGCTGCACTGCACTGCTCTCGTCACTTGGCCAAGGGGCTCGCACCACAAATTGGAAATGCAACGCTTACGCAGTCGGAAACGAGAAACGAAGCTTGAGAGCTCCTGCACACTGATGCCTTGCTCGGGCAAATATCCATGCGTATGTGTGTGTGTGTGTGTGTGTGTGTGTGTGTGTGTGTGTGTGTGTGTGTGTGTGTGTGCGTGTGCGAGCCAAAGGGACAGACGGCGGCAACACAGAGACAGCGAGAGCGATGCAGAGACAGCGACACAGACAGCAGCGACACAGACAGCAGAGACGGCCAAACAGAGCGCAAGAGAAGAGAGGAACAAAATCGCGCCAAAGTTGGCATCTCATGCTAATTTAAGACTATTACGCAATGGCTGCTCGCATCGCGGAGGGAAAGAGAGAGTGAGAGAGACAGACAGAGAGACAGCCAGAGAGATAGACAGAGAGATAGACAGAGAGATAGACAGAGACAGAGACACAGAGACACAGAGACAGAGGAGTGAGTGAGGAATCCGGGGCGTCCAAAGTCGGAAGGAGGTTCAATCTGGGTTCGGCCGTGTCCCCTCCCCTCCCCACCCACACACACACACACACACACACACACACACACACACACACACACACACACACACATATATATATACGTTGCCTCTCTCCTGCCTTGGCTTGTCTTGGGGCACAGGGCCGAACAAGGCCGCCGATCATCCGCGCCACATCCTCACAAACAGGGCGTCAAGCCGGTTCGAGTGCGATCCAGAAAAGCTGTCGCCGAGACTTTTGGCAAAACGCTATTTTCAACCTTTCTACAAGCTCGCGTTGCATCGACATCATGCCCGCTCCGCCGCCTCCTCCTACGCCTCCGCCTCTGCCGCAAAGTTCCTCGCCACCCGCTAGAAGACGGGTTGTTGATGTGGTGAGCAGCATTGAAGAGGCGAGCTCTCGTCGAGCCGTGCTTCAAGCGATCCATCATGGTGTTGCGCTGAGTCGCACCCAGCAAACCCCCGCCCCAACGCAGCCACCGCCACCCCCCATGTCCCACCCTGTGAGTGTGCGGCCACCGAGCCCGCCTCGACCGGCACCCTTTCGCTTGGTCATGCGGGAGCTCTTGTATCGCATTCCAAAAACGCCGTCTATTGATTGTGTGGCCCCACTTACATTACCGGTACGCCACACCTCCGATGGCATCCTGATGGCAGGCACCCCGTGGTGCAACACCGCTTGCCCAGAGTTCTCCAATCATGGTGCTGCAACAGCTCTCATGCTCCACATGTTCTCAGGTGCTAGATCCCGACGCAGAAATTCCCGCTGCTTTTAAGTGTCCAATCACTTTGGACCTCTTCAAGGATCCAGTGGTGGCCCAAGATGGACATACATACGAGCTTGAAGCCATTCGGCATTGGGGTGTTGAACACAAAACCTCGCCCATCACCCGACGGCCCATCGACGTGGAGGCCCTGGTTCCCAACCATGTTCTCCGAGGTTTGATCATGGCCTGGGCCGAACAGCACGCGGCACAACCCTCCGTGAGTTCCAGCTCTGATAGCAGTGCCGAGAGCCTCGAGGCACCTGATCCCAGCAGGCTGGGCGCTGAGCAAGCCGCTCCCTCTTATCCACCCTGCCCCCCCGTTTCACCGGACGCAACCCAGCCATCATCCACCCATCAGTCATTGTATGATTGATGACTCGAAGAAGCGTGAAACGGCAGGCCCGTCCGCACGCACACACGAAAAGAGTGAGCAGAAAAAAAGTAAAGGAGAAAAAGAACGCCTGGGCTCGTCAATTGATGACACAAAACCCACAAGCATGAAAGCATTTGCAGGAAAACTTGACACATGAGGGGTAGGCTGAGCGGGTGACGTCATGACATCTACCGGCTTAATTGGACCCCGATTGGCGAGGCATTGGCGTGGTGCTGTTGGCACGATAGGGCATTGGCGTAGTGCTATTGGCCCGGTAGGGCAGAGGTGTCATGCTGACTCGATCCCCATTTGGAGCGGCCACTGCACCTGCAGCTGGTCCATCTTCGGTACCCAGCCATTCGGGAATGTTGAGCGGAATCAGTTGATTGGTAAGGCTGGCCGAAGGTACATTGGAAAAGGCCACACGCTTGGTCGTCCATTCCAACAAGCGCGTTGTCTCTGCAGCACGCTCTGAAAGGACCATGCTAAAACCAAAGCCAGGTGAAAGTGAGGAGCAGGCACACACACACACACACACACACACACCACACACACACACACACACACACACACACACACACACGCACACACACACACACTGCAGCCACGAGGCTGGACCGGTGTCCTGGTTATCCACGAGTGCCTTACCGCTTAAAGTCGACAAGCATGGCTTGCGATTGGGCTACGGCGAACCGGGCTTTAATCTTGTTCACCAGCTCTGGTTGGTCCTGCACTAGAGTGGCAGCGCCCAGAGCCTCTTCGTTCCAGAGCAAGGCTCGGTCAAACTTGCCCAAACGTGCGTGCAAGCTGGCCAGTCGACTGCACGTCTCAGCGGTCATGTGATGCGAGCCCTGGTGCCGGCTCAGCTCCACCAGACGCTCAAGATACTGCCCGGCCATATCGTATTGTTGTTGTTGATCATAACAGCTTGAGAGTCCGAGACAAGCAGACATTTGACTTGAGCCATCTGGCGTGCCATCACTCAGCAGCTCAAGGCAACGTGAATAGTTCTGGTGGCCACCAAGCATGCCGGAGATGAGCAAGTGCGGCGCGCGCTGGTCAGCACCTCAACGACAAGTGACCAGTTCAAGATCACACGCTGCACAACCCCACGCCCACAAACCTCAATGGCAGCGTCGAGTTGCGCGATGTCTTGGTAAAAGTCGCCGAGGCGAAGATACACGCAACGCTGGCTAGCGGTGTCATTGCAAGCACGGGCGGCACCCAGGGCTTCCTCAAAGCTGCGGGCCACGGTGGCATGAACGTCGGCATCATTGGGATTTGCCTCGTGCCACAATTGCTGGATGTGTGCCAGCAAAAGCCGGCAGAGCGACTTTTGCCCAGCAATGGCAATGTCAGCCAAACGTTCAAGTGCTTCGGAAGAGGGCGCAGCGTCGTCGGCTGGCGCGGCGCTGGGGTCGACGTCGGCCGTGGCCATTTGAACGAGCTCGCGCAACGACCCCACCGCATTCTGAATCTCACCTATTAACAGCATTACCAAATGGCGCAGGTGTCAGGGGTAGCATGGGTCAAGAGTATAAGCAAAGTGCTTGCTTGTCAAGTGATCCCCGTCGTTGTCGTTGTCGTGTTTTGTTTTTTGTTTTTTTCTTGTTTTTTTTTTTTTTGTTTTTGTTTTTTTTTTTTTTTTTGGGGGGGGGGGGGGGGGGGCCAA